TGGCCAATATAGAAATATAATAAGATTATAATATAAAAAAACTCTAACCCTAACCCTAGAGCTAACTATAAACTATATTATAACCTTACTTTAACCCTAACTAATTTCAAATTTGCTTAAATTAGCTTAAATACTATGCTTATATATTATAATCTTATAATATTTCTATAGTAGCCACCTCTACTAAAGATTAACCCAATATTTCATAATATAATAATTTACATAAGTTTATATTAATATATTTTGCTGATGAACAACACTATTTGCACCAGTACGGTGCTTAAAAAATTATTTAATACTCCGTAAAACAATCACTACCTTTGCTTTACTTTGGTATTAAAATAGTTTGATGATATAAGGAATACAAAATTTTTCTTGTTTACTCTACGGATCTGTTATGTGTTATTTACTATTGGTTAGGCATGTAGTAACATGATTTTCTTGTAACTTGCTATTTCTGATTTGGCTGCATAAACAATATTAAATTTTCATAAAGAATATGCTGAATTTTCTACATTTTGGAAAAAATTTCAAGAGAAATATTAAAAAACTAGTGTTTCGATCTATAATTTGATAATTTAGATTAAATACAGATATTCTAATCTGTTTATTTTAACAAATAGATTCATAATAAATATCAGATTAAGGATAAGGATTATATGAATTCTTATCCTAGATATATATAATCTGAATTACTGTAAAATTCAAATGCTACTATAATTCACCAACAAGTTTACTTAATTGACAGTTTATTTCACCAACAGCTTATTTTGCTAACAAATTTTTTTTATAAATTACACTAACCTTAACTCTAATTCTAACCTCAATAACCAGAATTACTTTGTGAAATGAGCTATCAGTGAAATAAACTGTCGGTGAAATAAGCTGTCGGTGAACTACAGCTGCTTTTATAAATTCTGGGATAGCTAAAGTTATAATATCAGCTGACATCAAAAACTTATCAATTTGGTCATAGACAATATTTCAAGTGTCTCGGAATTTATAAAAACAGCTATAATCAAATACTGTAAAGAAGATCCAAATTCAATCTGAATAGTTTTTTAAGAATAGGATCGAAACACTATGTATTAGATATTTAATTATTAGGATTCCTATTATTGAATCTGAATTGAATCTGAATTTGCTAATCTGAATTAAAATTTGAATAAACCAGATATATTGAAGAGAATCCAAATTTAATTCAAATAGCCTTTTGAAAATAGGATCGAAACACTACAAAAAATCAAATAAAAATATAGAAAGTGGTTTTTGTAACCAAATACTTCAAAATTTCCAAAAAAATATGTTAAAAAACTCATTTGTTGTTCCCCTTCTATTATGTTGTCTATACTTGACTTTGTTGATAATATAGTCTCACTTCTATTAAAGCATCAAAATCTCCAAAATTTTGTATACAAGAGTATCTATCAGCTTATTATCTTGATATTAATGCTTCTGGTTTGTATGCCAAATATGTAAAGAAGTTCTCAACACAAATAGTAAACCTTTACAAGAACCACTACATAGTGCCTTTTCCTTTTCTAACAAAATTTTTGTTTTTGTTTAGTGAGAAAATTTGGTATGAGTGATTGTTGGAAAGAGTTGTATTTGTTTTTTTAAATTGTTATTTTTGTAAATTTTGATAGTATACTATTTAAAAAAGGTTAATAATTAAAATTATTAATAAATTTTATAAATAATAATTTAAGAGCAAATTTATTTATTGCATAGTGCAGCAAATGTTATTTATCGCATTATATTATATATTATAGTTATTATATGCCAAATTTTTATTGGACCATTTAAATATATTAAAATCGAATTACTAATCTTAAATTCTAATATACAAGAAAATTTAACTGAAATACGTTCCATATTAATATCATTATTGAAATTTTATTTATTGATTCGCTTTAGTCTATTGTATTCTAAAATTCTTGATTTCAGAAGCAAAATTTCGTATAACAAAACAAGTACAAACAACTGGCTTCAAGATTATTAGTTTATAATACTTATACTTCATAGTAAAATACGCTTACAATTAAAATTGTATATCAATATACTTGTTAAAAATGCAAACAATCACAGACATTTGACTATGTATATACATTAAAATCACAATTGCTATACCAAATATGTACGTACAGTACATATATACACATATCGATATATATACTTACATATATACTACAATATCATATGGCTAACAACTTTCCTTACTAGGGCATTTAGGAGCATAATGCTCCGTTTTGTGACGCAATCTACATTTATATTCACTATTAGTTCGATTTTCATTTACTGCTGAAGTCAGCTCAGTATTTTTTCTTTGGACCTTGCTATTATTTATTTCCTCATTATAAGTCTTAAGCCGTTTACCAGCAGGTCTACCTCTACCTTGACGTTTGAGTGGATCATTAATATCATCTATATTATAAATGTATCTCTTTGGCAATTTTATCTTATTATTCAAATTCATATTCTCTGTAAGAATACTTTCTGATTGCACTTTAGCATTTAGCTTAGCCTCTTTTTCCGATATATATGCCAATATAATAGCATCTAAATTTTCTTAATTATTATCTTCTAATGAATAATTTAAAGCTTTCTTAAAATGTCCCATAAATCAACCATAATTAGCTTTTTTTTGTACATGTTGACAAGCTTGAACCTCTTGAATATAATCATAATGCTTTGGAATAAAAACAGGTTGATTTAAAGTTGTATAATCAGCTTGTTTAAGATGTTTTGGTGATGTTCGAATAAACTGTTCATTAAAAATAGAATCAACACAAGCCCAAGCTTCATCTTGAAGCCATCTTGTTGGCATTAACATAGGGTGAAATAAAGCATTCGGATTTTCGATCATTAGTTTAAAATAGTGACAACAAATAATTCTATAGGAGACCAATAATAAACATGTATATAAATGAGTTCCATCGTTAAGAATTATAATGTGTTGATATGAGCTTAGTACCATATATGAAATGATTTGCCATACTTCTTTAACTGAATTCTTCGTAACTGAATTTAGTAGTGCTTTTAAATATGTTTGTCGATGATCATAGTAATCTTCGATATGCTTAATATCTTCATGACTATTAGCTTGAATTTGATTTTCATATGATTCATCTTGATCCTAAATATATAAAAGAGACCAATATTAATATTGGTTTAAGCTCTTGTTTCTATAACTATTTAATCACATTACTATTACCGATTGATCTTTAAAAACCTTTTCAATAGACAACTTTTCACATCTATATAACACAGATTCGCACATTTGTTTTTGAATTTCTGTGATGATTCTTGTTGAAAAATATTTTTTAATGATCTTATTAATATCACTAAAAAAACTTTCCACAACGAATGACTAATAATGTGTTACTGATTTGTATTTCCATGTTAAAAACTCTTTATTCATATTCTTTTTCTGCATTCGGGCATCTAAAACTTCAGCCACATCAAATATAGTAGAACTAGAAGAAACTGCCTTGTAGATTATTGCATTAATTGATTCAACACGTTGTGTTGATTGCATACCAGCCGTAAAAATACGACTGGTAAATGCACGTGCCCAAGAGTGCCGTGTTGAATAAATTAGATTTTGTAAGTATTCATTTGCATTTAGAAAAGTTTTTAACAATGTTTGAAATCGTTGCTCAAAAACATCTATGCATAATAAATTGCACATTTCCCAAAAACTACAAACAAAGTGATTAAAGTTTGCTGCTCCAAGTTTTGCTTTAAGCCATTTTGGTAAGCTCTGTGACATGTGCCAAATACAGTATATATGGGCTGCCGTCAATAGAAATCAGGTAGATCTACATTTGAAAAAAAATCAATGCCTTAACTTTCACAGCTCATATC